CCACTTATGCTTAATGAAATAAGTCAGAGAAAGACAAGGACTGTGTATTATCACTTATATGTGGAATCTAAAAAGTAAACAAATGAATGTAGCAAAACTGAAGCAAACACAGATTTAGAGAACAAAGTAGTGATTAGCATTGGGCACAGTGGGGAGAGAAGAGAGGGGAGGGGCAAGATTGGTTAGGGGAGGAAGAGATACAAACTATTATGAATGAAATAAATTGCAGTGCCATAGTGTACAACACAGAGAATATAGTCATTATCTTATAACTTTAAATCAAGTATAATCTATAAAAATATCAAGTCTATTGGACACCTGAAACTACTATAATATTATAAATTAACTGTGCTTAAATAAATAAATAATAATAGAGTAAACCCATTACATGTTACATGAATAACTTCTATGAATAACAACTAAATGGTTAATAATTCAAAAAAATGATTAGTGATTTTTGCATTTTTATAAATCTCTTATGTCTGGCTTAGAAGATAGCTGGATTTTTTTTTTTATTCTTATATCTGGTTAAAGAATTGGCTTGAAACAGATATGTAGTTGGAAAAAGAAGGAGTACTATTACTAGCCTTTTCAGATAATTATAGATATTCTTATGATACTATGTTGAGACTCAGCAAGTAATAGTTCCTCAAAAGTTATTTGTTATGTGGAATTTGAAATAATAGTAAAGACTTTTTTAAATTTGGTTATATAACAATCCATTGGTCTATCTTGCTTGTAAAATGGATTCTTTTATCCATGATGTTTTTGTAACATCACACATTAATCATTGGGAAATGACTGGTTCACTGAGTTATACAGAGCTTTCAAATGTTGACACAGTTTATTATAAACTATTTCTTAAATTACATTCATTAATATCAACAACTTAATCAAAAAAGTCTTTAAATGTTGGGAAGCTGTCAAATTCACAGTGGCAGATAAACATTTTCCAAAATTCTAGTTTTCTCTTGAAAGCTTGAATTTTAAACTTGGCAACAAGTCCTAAGAGTTGTTTTCCTTGAAGTGACAGGCTTGTTTCATTTTTAAAAAAGTATCTGTCAGTTACTCAAGTGTGATTAACCAGTTTGTCTGTTGTTCTCTTAATTAAGATGGCATTCCAAGAAAGAAGCAGCTAGTTTAGCTAGCAACAATCATGATAATCACACAGGTGTTTTTCCTCAGGAAAACCACTGGCCTTTGTACAACAGAAGTGCTTTAGAAATATGTATACTCAGGAATTTGTGTTCAGTTCAGTCACTCAGTCGTGTCCAACTATTTGTCACCCTATGGACTGCAGCACACCAGGCCTCCCTGTCCGTCACCAACTCCCGGAGTTTACTCAAACTCATGTCCATTGAGCCGGTGATGCCATCCAACCATCTCATCCACTGTCGTTCCCTTCTTCTCCTGCCTTCAGTCTTTCCCAGCATCAGGGTCTTTTCAAATGAGTCAGTTCTTCACATCAGGTGGCCAGAGTATTGGAGTTTCAGCTTCAGCATCAGTCCTTTGTTGTTAATAAAATTAATAACCTTTCTATGCCACTCAGAGCATTCTTCTGCAAACAGTACTGGCTGTTGTTCTGGTAATGCAGCAGGAAACCATAGAGTTTGGTGTTGCTGTCTTGATTTGTGCTAAGGACCCAGCTGTTGTTTTTGTTTGTTTGTTTTGCCCCAGTAGTTTTACCCACTATTGCTTTTGCACCATTAGTACAGCTAATCACACTATGAAAAAGGCAAATGGCATCTTAGAATTGTTATGAAAGTACAACAGGCCTTGAAAACTGCCTGAAGGGTCTTGGAGACCCCAGGGGTCTGTGAACCAAACTTTTATAGTTACTGGCACAGATAGCATAAGAGTTACCTTTTATTAAGCCCACAGTTTGTGCCAGAGATGGTTATGTGCATTAATTATTTTAATCCCCAGATATGCAGTTACATGAAGAACCTTTCACATTCTAGAAAATGTATTCTTTTTAACCTCTCTACCCTCGTTCATTTATGCTGCTCTGTTGCTGGTTCGTGGGAGCTAATTAAAGTCTGAGCAGTTTTCAACAGCATTGCTGCCAGGGGTATAAAGCTCCATTTTCTCAGTCCCAGGGGTGTTTAGACCTTTAAAAATTCATGATTCAGCCTAGGTTTGCTTGGTGAGTGCTAGGTCTCCAGCATATGTCAGGCCACAAAGTACGCCGTGCTTCTCAGGGCTCTTAAGAATGTTTCTCCTCCATCCCCAGTTGTTTTTCTTCTCATTGTTATACTTTCTCTCACTTTCCAAACCTTGGTCTCACAATCTGAAACCTTTTCCAACAAGAATGGTCTTAATCTATCAAAACACAATGATGAGGTGCTTTTTCTGTCAGGAGCTGGGGGGTGGTCACAATATTTTAACTGAGCATTAGCTTGGTCACACATAGATAATTGTTTATCCCATTGCCTCATATATACCTTAAAGGCTGACCTGGACAAAGAACCCGTGGGGCCTTTCTTGTTCTGCCCTTTCAGGCTAAAGAGCTGTTTCCCAGAAATGGACTCACAGACATAGGGAACAGACTTGTGGTTGACAAGGGGGAGGGGTTGTGGGAGAAGGACTGGGAGTTTGGGATTAGCAGATCCAAACCTATTACATACACATTGGTTAACAAGGTCCCCTGTATAGCACAGGAAACCGTATTCAATATTCTGTGACAAACCACAATGGAAATGAAATTTTTTTAAAACACTGTGCATATAATATATATATATATATGCATATACATAACTGAATCACTTTTCTATACAGCAGAAATTAACACAATATTGTAAATCAAGTATACAAAAATAAAATCTTGCCCTTTCCAAAAATAAAAATAGCTATTTCCTTTCCCATTTGCCCTCTTATGAGGTGTTGTGCTGAAGTGAACCCTTCTCTAGGCTATAAATGTTGATTTGGATTGATAAGTCAGTGTGTGGCTAAGAACTCACCCAAATCTTGAATTAATCTGAAAGACAGGTTAAGGGAATATTTACATGGTTTCATTGTGACTCTGTAGAATTCCCTGTTGAAAAGAGGACGGTCCTTGAGCTGATTAATACTTCTGGTTGCTTTTCGTGTGTGGCAGGGATTGTGGTCATGTGTATTATCTCTGCAAAGAATTTGGTTGTAAGTATTGAGAACTGTAATTCTTTCAGTCCAAAGTCAGGCTGAAGAGGAAACTGTACATGCAGGACCAGGTAAGCTTATATTGCATCCAAGAACATCTATGGTTTTGTCCTGCTTTTATTCATTAGTCTGACTATTAAGTAGGAGAAACAGAAACTTTTACATGTGACTGCTGAGGAAACAAGTTCCTGAGAGGAGACCAGGCTTAGACGGTAAATAACTTTTCTCCCCCAGAGAGTTCAGATATTATCTAACCTAACAGGTGTTAGTTAGCAGTCCCTGCTGAGTGAGATCTCTTAGGAACATCTTTTAACTGTGCTTCTCTCTGCCTTGGGTATCCTTTTTTTTGTTGTTTTTTAAGTTTTTTTGTTTATGTCTCCCATCTAAACCTAAAACACCCCCAGGGTTGATAGACACAGAAGTAAGTTGAATTAATCCTTTACATCTAGATCTCTTCTGGAGCTTTGGTAACAAAGGTCAATTTTCATATCCTTATGACGAGCCATTATCATATGTAGCGAAGACACCTGCCTTATTTAGTGTCACGGAGGTAGAAAACGATTTAAGACGTGGCACAGGCTACTGAAAGCACCTATCCAAGTTTATGCCCAGTCCTTTCACTGAAGGGCTGCATAACCCTCATCATCCCCCGAGCTCTGCCTTTATCACCAGTCTGAATTAAGGCTCTTGGTGCCATCCATACCTTGCAGAAATGTGACAGGCAGAGCTGGACTTGGATGCAGTTATAAGAGCAGCATTTCTCACCTGTGTTATAGCGTCTTCTGGAAATGTGTATGACATGGAGGGGGGTGAGCAGTGCCTCCCAGACATTCTGGCAGGATCCTCTATCACACTGTCCTCCTGCTCAGATCTGCCTCTCCCTTTTGGTCATCTTCCCACACCAATGCCCATCAGCGCTTCCCAGGGGCCATTCAGTTCACACTGTGAAGGTCCCAGGGCTGGTTTGGTTCCCACTTGAGCCATCTTTCCTTTACTTGTGTAGCCAGTAGTGTTTCTGTGCAACCAGTATGAGCCCTGATACGTTCTGAATTCACAGGCATACTAGTTTCTCCCCTGATGCTTGTAAAGCATCTGACACAGTGTCAGCTGACTCCTGCTGAAGACCCAGGACAACACAGTCAGTTCAGCGGGTGATGGTCAGGTGTCTGGTTGCAAAGTCTTTGGACCTAATAGAATGTTCTCAGTCTACTTCTCTCCATCCCCTAATGTATTTTTATGTTTGTGTCATCTCAAATACATTTTAGAGTTCTTGAATCACTTACTCAGTTCATGGTAGATAGTATCTTTAGAATACTTGGAGGATAGCATTTATGGTACAGAAATCCTAGCACTTAATAGCGCTTTACTCCTAAGAGGCAGTGACCAATGTCTTCTTAACGTTTTCATCCACCCAGAATCACTCCCCACTCTATCCTGTGGCACTTAAACACAACCCCATCTTAGTGTGTATTGCATTGCATTATAAAATAAGGATAAAATGTAGCTTTTAAGTCAAAATGAAAATGTGAAGAACCAAGTTGTGAGCACCCTGGTGGCAAGAAGGCATCTTATTTTGTCCCCTACGTCCAGCATCATTCAAGCATCATTGAATGCCATTTAATCCAAATAGAATATTTAGCCTTCTCAATTCAAATTGAAGATATTCTTTTATTATAATGTGGCTCATGCACCTGCCTCTTGGTATGTGCTTTACTTCCCTGGGTGCCATAATCCACCTTTAAGAACTTTTTTTAACGCCACCCAGCTGATGGTGTGCGTTATCACTGAGCGAAGTGACAGAGGCGTGCAGCGCTCCTCAGCCTCAACAGCCACAGTACTGGTGCTTCCCCTTGTCCTTGCAGCCACCCTGAAGGAGCTCATCTCGCAGACCATGATCCGCTGGGCCCAGGAGGACCAGATCCAGGATGCAGAGCTGGTCCGGATGATGTTCACCCTCCTGCGGCGGCAGTACGACAGCATCGGGGAGCTGCTGCAAGCGCTGCGCAAGACCTACACCATTAGCCAGGCCTCCGTGAGCGACACCATCAGTCTGCTAGCCGCCCTGGGCCAAATTCGCTGCCTGCTCAGCGTCCGGATGGGCAAGGAGGAGGAGCTACTCATGATCAACGGGCTGGGGTGGGTCATTCCCATCAGGGGCAAGCTTGCGGAGGAGGCAGTTCTGAAATCAAGTCACATAAAAACCTCTGGGTTCCCCTGATTTCACTTCTCTTGGGATTATATGCTCATTAAATCAGTCCCCTTCAATAACCTCAGAGAGCAGACATGGGCGACTTGGGGTGAAGGGCCGTGGCCAGAAGTAGGAAGGAATCTTGGGGAAAAAGCAGATATTTAGTTTGAACCTGATAAAAATAGTCCCAGGAAAGCAAGGGAAAAATTCAAAGGAAGGGACAGTGTGTTCACCCCAAGAAGAGAGAAACTTTTTGAGCACCTAAGGTTTTACTGGAAATCTTCTGAGACTTCCCTTTGAATAATTAGAGCCCTTTTCCTCCCTTTTCTTGGGAGTAGAGTCAGTGTCTTCAATCCTTCAAAATGTGTTTCTTCATGACAATAGCTTGTGGATCTTCCTTACAAGCCACACACTAGAAAGATTGAATTTTATTTATTTGCTTGTTTTTGTTTTCATAATTTAAATTTTTTTATTTTTAAACAATTTTAAAGGTTACTTTCCTTTTACAGTTATTACAGAATATTGGTTATATTCCCTGTGTTGTATGATATATGCTTGAGCCTATCTCACACCCAACAGTCTGTAACTCCCATTCCCCCACCCCTATATTGCCCCATCCTCTCCTCCCCACTGATAACCACTAGTTTGCTGTCTATATCTGTGAGTCTGCTTCTGTTTTGTTGTATTCACTAGTTTCTTGTATTTTTTAGATTTCAGTTATAAGTGATATCATATTTGTCTTTATCTGTCTTATTTCACTTAGCAAAATGCCCTCCAAGTCCATTCATGTTGCTGCAAATGGCAAAATTTCATTCTTTTTTATGACTGAGTAGGATTCCATTGTATATGTATAGCACAAGAAAGATCATGTTTTAGATAGCAAAAAGATTTCCTTTAATTAGGTAGCATAGTTCTATATTGCAGATGAGAAACCTGAAGCCCCCAAAAATGCACTGACTAACCCACAGTTTTACCTGAATAAAATCAAGCACTAGAATCATATTCTTCCTGCTGTTGGAATTGTCATCCTACCACCCTCAAACCCGCAAAATAAAGGAGCATCACTGAGACCCAGAACAGAGATGCTGGCAGTTGAGGCAGAATGAGGGGATACATGCATTCCTTAAATTCATTTCCAAACAGGAATCTTACAGTAGAGGTGAAGAAACTTTTATGGAAAGAGGAAACAGCTGCAGAATTAGCCTTTCTCCCAGCCTTGCAGTAGACATAGCTCCACTAAAACTTAGTGGTATCTCATTTTAACAGCTGCAACCCTCTGGAGAAAGGGATATGAGCTGAGAGTAACCACTTGCAAGGAATTACACAGCCAGGTCACAGACTGCCTCTGTATTGTGCTTTGCCTGCAGCTTTATTATGTGAATTTATGTTGAATGACTTAAAAACATAATTCTTTTTATGTTTCATTTTGATCATTTTATTGAGTGCTTACTGTCCAAAAGTATTGTTGGTACCTAATACACAATTGCCTTAAGAAAAGGGTGCCCTACCATTTGGATAACTAAAGTACATAGAGACATAAATGTAAGGACAAGAGAACAAAAAAATAGAAGACCCTTAATACACAGAGGAAGAGAAATTCAGTGGTTTGGGCTGTCTCAAAACTATCACAAGCCAAAAAAAAAAAAAAAGCCCAAGGGGCAACTACTTAATGTCATCAGAAGGAAATATTTAGAAGAAAAAAAGTAGAAATGAATAATATTCCTATCAGCTAAAAAAGGCCCTCCACATATATTCCACCAACCTAGTACCTTCTGACCATCTTTCCAGCAGATGGCATGTACATTAGAAGTGAAAATTTTAGTCCCTCAATCATGTCCAACTCTTTGTGACCCTATGGACTGTAGTCTGCCAGACTTCTCGGCTCCTCTGTCCATGGAATTTTCCAGCCAAAAATACTGGAGTGGGTAGCCATTCCCTTCTCTAGAGGATCTTCCCAACTCAAGGATCAAACTCATACATTAGTTCACCCCGAATGTGTGTGCGTGTGCATTTGTGTATTTTCAGCCCTGAATTGTCATAGCATTGAAATAAGCAAGTGCTGACTTCTCTCTCTGATTACCCTAGAGACATAATGAACAACAAGGTGTTTTACCAGCACCCCAACCTCATGAGAGTCCTCGGCATGCATGAGACGGTCATGGAGGTGATGGTGAATGTGCTGGGTACAGAAAAGTCTCAGGTAATGCTCCAAGGAGAATTTAACTTGAACTTGACCCCTGGGCTGGGTCATGTGAAGTGACCTCTTCACAGGCACGTGGTTGATGCCCACTGCCTAGTGATTCTTCCCAGGGAGGGCACGGGGATAAGCACAAGGCCAAGAAGGAACAAGGAGATGGGACCCAGCCAGTGTGAGAGTTCTTCTCACTCATTCCACTGGGCTGTTCAGTCTCCTTCCCATCCTCTTCTGCAGTCCTGCTCCTTCCAAGATGGAATTCCTCCAGGTTCCACTTAGGAGTTGGGTATGTCTGGTGCTGTGTCAGAAGGCAGTTCTAAAGGAGAACAGGGTTTTAATAATGATCCTGGGACTGTTCCCACCGGAGTGTACATGTTTCCTGTCTGAGCCAAGCTCCTGACGAGGTCGATTTCCTAGCCAGCCCTGCCATAAGGGGCCTGGGAGCTCCTGCTGCCAAGGGGCAGGGGGTGCCAATAGGGCCCACCTGGGCAGGTGCTGCAGCTTGTCCAGGTCCTCCTCAGAGTCAGAGCTTAAGGCAACAGATAGGGGATGTTTTTAAATATTGGAAATTCCAAAGTACCTGGTCCTAGGAAAGCAGCACCAATATTGACAGGTGAGCATTGTGAAGGAAGAACACAGGAGCCCCATTCACCTTGCTCCTCATTTGCTTCCTTCTGATGTCTCAGGAAAGTGGACTCTCCCCAGAAGGCCTCTGAACAAACGTCTGTGTGCCTCAGCAAACAGACAGACTAACTTTTAGAATCTTGCTTCCTAGAGCACATTCCATGATTCTAAAAGCGGAAATCAAGGGCTTTCTTGGATCCTGAGCCAAGGTTAACACTGACACCATTTATTGAGCATGATTGATCAAACAGAGGATGCAGCCAGACCCTGGAGATGCTAATTACTTTGTTAAGCAGAGAAGCCAACCACTTTTGATGGTAATAGAAGTTGGCACTTTGGTGCTAAATTCTAAGAATCATGTTATGAATGCTCTAGGAGAGTGGTGATCGAGGACAGAGGTAATCGGGGAAGGCTCACAGTCTGAGAGGGTGATGCGGTTGAGGCTTCTACAACAGTAGAGGCTGATCTTTATGCAGAAGACTCAGGTTTGATACAGTGCTAGGTCTTATTTTCTGTGATCACCCATCTCCATTTCTGTTCCCTCCCTTCCTACTCAGAAACAGTGGTCTGATGTAGGGTTGAACAATTTCACAAGATATCTGAGGGTGACTAGAATTCTGGCTTGACATCTATTTTTTTTGAAAGAAAGATACTTCAGGAGCTATAATTAGCTCTTGATATTTTTAGAAGCCTCTTCTTAGGTGTGTATTCTCTGTCGCTCCTATGAAAAAGTCTTGGAAACAACCAGAAGCAAGGAGAAAATTCTTTTTCCCAACTGTTCACAGCTTGCAAGGCTCCAACCTAAGACTCTTTGAAGTCAGCCTTTTCAGAAAGGCTTCTTTTTTTTTTTTTAGTTGGAGGCTATTTACTTCACAACATTTCAGTGGGTTTTGTGATAGATTCTTCCCCGTGACACTTTCTACTTCTCCCTACAGATTGCCTTTCCAAAGATGGTTGCTAGCTGCTGCCGCTTCCTGTGCTATTTCTGTCGAATCAGCCGACAAAATCAGAAGGCCATGTTTGAGCATCTAAGTTACCTGTTGGAGAACAGCAGTGTTGGCCTAGGTAGGTCTTGTTATAATTTCTGCATTTGGCTCAGGGGTTGCCCTTCCCCTGCTGGCCACTTAGGCAGTAAAAGGAAAGAAGTCACGTGTGTGCTATGGTATTTTTAAATCCTGGAGGAATTTTTAAATCCTGGAAGAAGGAATCCTGCCTGATCTCAAAACATGTGAGATAATAATAATACCATGTCTCTGCTCTCCAAACTAAGGAGAGAAGTCGCGGCCAACCAGCCCTGGTGACAGTAATGATGACAGATTTGTTTTGGCTTAGACACACAGTTTATAGTCACACAGTTTTGCCTCCTCTCTCTGGGGACCCCGGGTTCATGAAATGCTACCTGAGATTATGGATGTAGTCTGGAGATCCAGCGCCTCCCAGCCCATTCAGCTGACCAGGGAGCAGTGCTAATAAGACCAAGGTCATGGATCCAATCCCTTCTTGGCAGGCTGGCTGCAGGCTACATGCCTGTCCCATCAGCTAACCAGCCAGTGCTTTCACAGCTGCAAGGCAGACAGGCCAGGAGTGACTATGGACAAACAGTATAAATCCAACACCACCGCTAGAAAACCAGTGCATGCACTTGCCTTGCTCATTCTTCTGTATGTAAACTAAATGAATCTGTGGAAGACACAAATACATTGTGTGCACGTGAAATCTGAAATCTCAGGTTTCCTGTTTATCAAATGCAACCTCATGGGATTGCAAAAAGAGTCGTACAGGACTTAGGGACTAATCAACAACAAGCTTAGACTAACCGACCTTTGTATAAAATGCCACCTAAAGTTTTTCTCAATTTTAGCCCAAGAACCAAACGAAGGGAAATGAAAGACAATGTTGGTGACCTGATATAATTCTAAGAGCTAATCTGTTTGAGGGTATTTTTAAACTCTAGGTGGTGACCCCAGAAATGACCAAGTTATGTGAGCTTGGTTATCAAGTGACATCTGAGACTTTGGAATGGTCACCAAACAAGGGCCCAAGAACTTGCATGTTAGAAAAGCACTTGAAAATACGTGGTCCCAGTTGCTCCTGTGAACTGATTTTCTAACTTCAGCTTTGTTCACGGTCAGTAATGAGTGTGGGGAGGAAGGATAGAAAACAGCTGCTCGCGAACGGGGCGGGCAGCCCCGCTTTGAGGACAGCGACGTGTCCAGGTTTTGTGTTTGCTGACCTCTCTTGGTCATGACTGCGCACTGCAACCAAAACCTCAGCTCAGCGCCGGGTGGCCTCTTTCTCCCTTTCTCTCCCCTTCTCTGCTTCTTCCTCAGCTTCCCCCTCGATGAGAGGATCCACCCCGCTGGATGTGGCCGCTTCCTCGGTGATGGACAACAATGAGTTAGCGCTGGGCTTAGAGGAGCCAGACCTCGAGAAGGTAACTGGCCTTGGGGGGGGGCACTGTGCTTGCTCTCCCCCGCTTATAGCACAGCCAAGCCAAGGAAAAGCAGACCAAAGGCTGAGCCTGCATCAGAACCTCCTCAGCGTGTGAGGAAAGTGGGGCGGGATGTGAGTCCCGGGAGCCGTGTGATAATTAGGACCAGAGCATCTCCTGTGGGCAGGACTTGCCAGCTCCACAGACACCTTCACCTTCATCCTATCCTGTCTTCAGACTGTTTCCTTGACTGGACAGCTGAAGCGACTGACAATGCACTTTCTCAGTTTGGAGAGGAGCTGTCTAGTCAGGAGGAGGGGGACGAGGAAAAGGCTGTCCACTGCCTGGTGGGTTTGGGAGCAGCTAGGAGTGGGCATCTGACCCCAACAAGGGGATCAGGAAGGGCCCTCAGCAAAGAGGTGACCCCGAGGCTGGGCAGAAGCTACTCGGTCACATTGAAGACAAGCCTGTGGCAGGAATGTTTGCATTTCAGAGACGAGAGCATGGTGTGCCTGAATTTCAGAAAGCTGGCTGTGACCAGAGCTCTGAAGCTTGCGGGGAGTGCTGAGAAGGGAGGAGAAACAGAAATGAATGGGCCCCAGGCTGCCATTACTGCTAATAGCAGAGGTCCACACACCTGCGGAATCACTGTGTGCCAGGCCCCACTCAGAATTAAGTCATGTGATCCTCAGGACAAGCCTTTTTATCATTGCCCCAGTTACAGGAGAGGAAACTGAGGCATAGAGAGATTAGGTAATATCCTCAAAGTCATCGGGTTTGTGAGGGTCAGAGCCCTGGGCTTTAGAGGCCGCACTGTTACCTGTGATGTTTTGGGACCTCACTGTAGGGCCTCGAGCCCCAGAAACCACTGGAGGGCTTCAAGCAGAGGAGAAACACAGTTTTTTATGTTCTGGAACACGTCCTGGTTTTAGTGAGAAGTGGTTATTGGAATAGAAACAAGTCAAACCCCATCCCACCCCATACACACACGAACTCAGGAGCTGTGCGCCCAGCAGCCAGTTATGTGGTTGCTGATCTGTGAGTGCCCTGGATATTCTTGGCCTCTGCCTCTGAGGGGACAGAGTTTAGTCAGACTTGGCTATTCATCCATTTAAATGGCCATAAATATCTCAGTTTTCATTTAGGTGATCTGATGATAACTGACACCTGTGTTTAAAATTAGGTAATGATTCTCTCATGATCAGACAGTGCCCCAGGGGGCCGTGCTCAGCAGCCCACCCTCAGCCACGTTCACCTGGTCCCATGATAACTGCTCATCAGGGACCCTGAGTCTCCCTGGGAAGGGAGACCGGGAGGCAGGGAGAGCGGAGAGAGGGTACCCAGGGAAGTCTGCAGAGGAGGAGGGCCCGCCAGTCACCCAGTGACTGAACATTTTGGTTTTGAAATCCCATGGTCAAATGAACAGGGCCAGCCTGCATCCACCATTGTCTCCCCCGTGGCACCTTAGTTAGGCCGACTTTTAAATGCCATGTCCCCCTTGCCAGAACTTTTAAATGGCATGACCCTCTTGCCAGAACCGGGAAATCATAGCATATGGCTTATATCTACAAAGCAGTGATCATCAGTCTTGTCAATTGCTTGGAAACAAAAATGAGTAAAAGGTTCCAATTTCAAATCTGCTAAATTATTTACTTGGAAAGTAGTGGGCTGTCTCCAGCTTCTAGAGAAATGAAAGCCCTTCAGTTCCCAGAATTGTGCATGCCTTACCAGCTATATAAAAAAACTTACATTAAAAAAAAAAAAAACCTGGGCACTTAACTTTGTTTTGTTCTTGGCAGGTGGTGACCTATTTGGCAGGCTGTGGCCTGCAGAGCTGCCCCATGCTTCTAGCCAAAGGATACCCTGATGTCGGCTGGAACCCCATTGAAGGGGAGCGCTACTTGTCCTTCCTGAGGTTTGCCGTCTTCGTGAACAGTGAGTCTCAGTTTTCCATGCCTTTCAGACCTAGGAAGACACAATCGCAGTGCGTACTAGGGAAAGGAAATTCTTTGCACTGCTTCCTATCCATAAACATGATAGGTTGTATAGGTAGGTGGCAACTGATAGAAAAACCTCTGGGACAATCAGGCTAGACAAGGATCAAGAGTGGAATCCAGTGGAGAGAGTCCTGAATGCTTGTCACCTCTTTGTACCTCTTCTTCTAAAAGACGGCACTTGTTAATATCTTGATCTCACTTGTTTCCCAGAATTAAATGCAAGTATGTCTCTAGATTCTTAGTTTTGGATGAATGGATGAATGGTTGGATGGATGGGTGGATGATTGGATGGATGGATGAATGAATAAAAACATGGAAGAGCTGATAGCTGTTAAAGGTAACTAAACTCCCAGTAGGAAACAAACAAAAAAAAAGAATTGCTATAGAAACACTAAATATTCTTCTTCTTAATGCAAATCACCTCTCATTTATAGTGAATTCCAAGTTGACACAAATTCTGCATTTCCACTAGTTTAATATGCTGAATATTGCATAAAATGAGTAGTTTCTTAAAACTGCACCTTGTTTCCAAAATTTTGTCGTGATATTAATACTGGCTTACTTGTATTTACATTATAGTTACAATCTTTCTCCCTTTTCCCATTTTGGAGTTTCTGGCTAACAAGCCTAGCTGGGCTAGTTAAGTGACTACAGAGAGGGATTTCAGCTAATAAGCAGTCATGCTGATTGTTCTATGAGAATTCACCTGAAAATGTATTGGTATCACGTGATCATTATCTTGCCATGTGCTCTTCTTGTCTCCTCCTCCCCAGCCCCGCCCTGCCTGTTTTCCTACATCATAATGCACGCTGGTCTTAATATTTGAGTGGTTTCCGGTGTCCCGATTTTTTCCCTTTCTTGACTTGGTCACAGACCTTGAGATGTTTGTCGTTTGTTCTCCTAGGACTGGTCCAGCCAAGTTTTCAGGGATTTGGGTTTTCTGCTTCTCTCTGCATCTTCCATACCTACTATCTGCTCATCATCAGCATTGCTAAACTCCCATTTTCTTCCTCTGCGGCCAGTTTCAGAGTATCCTCTGGCAGCCTGTTTTATTTCTAGTGCAGATGATTGCATATCCTGAATTAATGCAGAGTTATTGACTGATGGGGCTTAGCAGCAGCAGCAGCCTTGTGGTAATAATGAGGCTTCCCTTGTAGCTCAGACGGTAAAGCGTCTGCCTGCAATGCGGGAGACCTGGGTTCGATCCCTGGGTCAGGAAGAACAACCGGAGAAGGAAATGGCAACCCACTCCAGTACTCTTACCTGGAAAACCACATGGACGGAGGGGCCCGGTAGACTACAGTTTGTGGGGTTGCAAAAAGTCGGACACGACTGAGCGACTTCATTTCACTTCACTTCATTGTGGTAATAAAGGGAATTTTGTGTAGATTTTAAAGATTCAGAAAGTCCATCAAATTCTATAAATAGACTGTATGACACATACCAGATCCAGGAAAAACCCATTTATTCATCTTAGCCAACTTCACAGGAAGATCAAGGGTTTTATGAGTCAGTTAGTGGGACTGTCTACTTGGGTCATGAAGGTTGAGGAATCCACTGGCTGTTTTCTTACCCAGATGGCCGAATTCCAACACTTGCTTTTGCTTATGTGGTACAACCATATTCAACTAAACTCTGAATCAATGCTCGGTCCATCTTCTTTGCTTTCAGATTGTTTTATGCCTTCTTTAATATACTCTACAGTACAATTTTATAATGCAATAAACTGCAAATCTATTAGACCATCAGTAGAACGATATATGCACTTTAACCTTTATTGTGTCTCTTATCATGTAAAGGTCACATTTGGTTTTGGCAAAGGTTATTGGCTTCTGCTTTGAAGGAACTGACAGTCTAGTAAGGGGAAGAGACATGGACAGAGGTCACTATAATAAGAAGTGGAGTAAGGTAGGGACAGAGTGCTAGCGGGTTTCATGAGGGGATACTCACATCCTGTTGAGATCAGAAAAGGCCTCTTGGGGAGGTAGTATTAGAGATGAGCTTTGAAAGGTCGGATTCCCAGGTGCTGAGATGCAGGAGAGGAGCCAGTTGAACAGTGGCCTGAGGGCTAAAGCACATGTGCTCAGGAAACACAGTGATCAGCTGGTCTGCAGGGTAGATGCATGGATGACAGTGCTAAGAGACAAGGTGTAAAAGGTAGGTAGGCAGCTCTGATGGGGAGAATCTAAATGCCATACTGAAGAGTTTAGTCTCGATTCAGTGTTCAGAGAACTGGGGAAACTTTTCACCAGAAGAAAGACTGGCAATCACCAGGAACTTCTGTGCCCAGGTTAGGATAATGAGTTTCTGAATTGTAATGGTGGTGATCGGAATGGGATAGAGGAGATCTATTTGAAATAAGTAATAGAGACTGAATTTATCAGACCTGCTGGTGGTGGTGATTATAATGTCTGAGTCCTGGGTATGTGGACATAAGGGAAAAAAAACAGGTCACTTTAGAGCTTAGAGATTTAAGGGTAGGATGAAAAGAAATAAGGATGGTCAGAAGGACAGAATGGTTTGAGATGGACGGTCATGAACTTGTGTAGTTTGGGGAATCATTTTGCAGTGTGTGACCCCCTCCCCAAATGGAGATGCCCCAAATTGAGGCTGTAGAATAGAGATCAGTCAGGAAACGCATTGGGACCAAGTGGACTTGCAGGTCATCCGCAGTTGAAATGGTCCAGGGGAGAACATAGAAGAGAGAGGGATTCATATGAACAAACTTATTCATTTAATATAACAACCCAGTGAGTTAGATATAGTTAATCATCATCATTTTATGGATAAACACCCTGATGCTTAAAGGCATTAATAAGTACCTTTGCCAGAATCACACAGCTAGTAGACTTTTGTGAGGATTTGAACCAGAACAGTTTGGTTCCAGAGGCCAAACTTTACTCGAACCATTATATAGCATTGCCTTGTAAACACTGTCTCCCTAATGAGCAAGGAGAAACAGCACTTTCTCCTTTGAGCTGATCAAAAATTGTGGAATTGTTTAATTTCTGTTTGGTGCTAGTGTTTAAAAAAAATTTTTTTAAGCCAAATCAAAAGCTCTTGCTATATCAAAATAATAAAATTAGAAAATTCTAACGTTATTTTACTAGTTTCTGTTAATGTTGGTGTTAAATCTTCTTAAACAAGATTTGTCTTTAAGAGAACTTCTTAAAGCATATGATTTTCTCTACTCTGTTTTTATTAGCTTGCTGGGAAACCTTGGGTAGTGTTTAACTCTAGGAGGACTAAAGTTGAGAAGTTTCTATTAACCCAGCATTTGCAAACTTTATAACCTGTCTAGACACAGATGTGTCTGGGTGTGTAATTAATCCCTTCCTAAGGCAGATACCAAGTGGGAAAAGATTCCTTACAGATCCACAAGAGGAAGGGGAAAGTTGGGAATTCCCTGGCAGTCCAGTGGTTGGGACTTGGTGCCTTCATTATTGAGGATCCAGGCGCAGTCCTTGGTCAGGAAACTAAGATCCCACAGACCATGGGGCACAGTCCAAAAAAAAGAAGAAAAAGAAGGGGAAAGTCAGTCTGTGCTTCCTTAGAGTCCTTGGAGTGTCTCAGTGTACCTTCCTCAGGCTTCAGACTTATCTGAAGAACACAGTATGTCCAGCTTTACTGAATCTGTCTCCCTAGGCAGCTTGATCGTAACTTGAACATCCATCATGTGGCATGTGAAGAGTACATGAGGGGCTATGAGAAGTGACAGGAGACGTGCACGAGATGTTCTGCCCTGAAGTCATTTAAAGTTCAAGCAGCAAACAGAGCAAACCAAAGTAAAGTGATCAAAAACATTATATACATACTAAAAAACTCAACTACACTCACCTGCATAGTGACACATGTGACTGTTGGCAGGCCAAAAATGACAGTGCTTATTGGAATCTTTGGAATATAAGAATGCCTGGGGAAGAAGGCAGATTGTTGAACAGGCAGGATGTTGTTGAACAACATCCTGAAGAAAGAAATGGACCTAGTTTAACAGAGTAATCAGGGGAGAACATACTGAGAGGCGTTGAGCTGGGAGCCAGAAACCTTTTAGGGTATGACACTTATATCTCAATAATGCTGAAAAAAGGTCTTTTAGGATCAAGAATACAAATTGAGCATGTTAGATTTGAAGTGCATAGTAGGTACAGATGCTTAAAAGAATCTTCTGTATTCATGTTTTTAGAGTCAGAAAAAATATAATAACCATTCTTCATTGTGATTGGTATTGATGACTGGGGATGGTTAAGATTAAAATGTCTTAAGATTTTGTTCTTGTTGTCAAATTTATAATCCTAGGAAATGGACAGCCTCAGTTCTTGCAAACAACGGCTGATAATTGCGTTGGTAATGCAGTGATGGATAATCACCCTCAGCATTCCATTTGATTCTTTCAAGCCACTAAGTGATATTAACAAAAGGCTTGAGCATACAGAGTTAGATCATTCAGACATGGACCGTGTTCTCATTAAATACACGGTCTAGTATGAAAAATACAGATACCAAAACATTCATTAATTACACTTGTGTACAGTGTTTTAAGAAGGAAGATGGGGTGTTTGAGAGGATTAGATCCTCTGGAACTTTCAAGTTTAAGCTGATTCTCAGGGGCAAAATGGAGTTGCAAAGGTCAAGGTTTTATGTCAAAGGAATGGAAAGGAAGAGAGCATTCCAGGCAGAAGAACTTAAAATAGGGATTGTGGTTAGAATACAGACAGTAAGAAAAGCAATGGGCAATCATTACATTCTCATTAATCGTTCCTGCGATGAGAATGACTGCTCAGGATTAAAATGGGGAGAATCATTCCGTTTCCATCTAACTTCTCAGGAACATTGAAAACAAGGTGGTAATACGAAGGCAGTGTTGAGAGACTTTGAAGAGAAGCTCTGTGAACATGCACAGTTATTAAGCTTATTATTCATTTGGAACTCCAGCAAAAA